CTCTGGACCGCGATTAAGTCGAGGCGGCCGGCCGATGCAATTCCATTTCAGTGTGCCGTGGAACAGTTGACAGTACGGTGACATATCGGAAAGCATCTGGTGATCGGAAGGAGAGAGGTGTTTCTTCGTGTTTTTTTTGCGTACCGGTGTGAAAGTATTTCTTGTTCGGAGTGACACTTGTTTTGTTTTCTACAAGAGATTGTTGGTTGATATTCGTAGAAGGATTTCGGAGATTTTAAGTAATTATTTTTGTTGATTTGGTTGTCTATGAGGTTGGAGTCTTTGAGGAATTCGAACAATCAGAAATATTGTTTTTGTTGATGGAAAAGCAATGCTTAGTCCGGAGTGTTGAAAGATAAATAACTATTGATGGTACACTTTCACTATACGTCTGTGTCATGGAAATTTGGATGTCCTTTGGATTATTATGGTATATTTAAGAGACAACTCCCTTTCATTATTCCAGATTTTTTGGGATTTTCTCTCCTCGTTTCTATAAAATAAAAATATGAATATTATTTCAATATACGTGTAGTGAGGACAAATCAGGTGATTTACCCCAAAATGTCACTGCGTTTATCTTTGTTGTCATTATTCTTTTGGTGAGACAAAATAGGTTATTTTTACAAGTGAAACTTAAAATTATATATTATTTGATCTTGTTTTATTGTAAATATTATGATCTATTCGAAGAAGTGCAATTCGAACAAATAGAAATATTGATTTTGTTGATGGAAAATCAATGCTTAGTCCGAAGTGTTGAAAGATAAATAACTATTGATGGTTCACTTTCACTATACGTTTGTGTCATGGAAATTTGAATGTCCTTTGGATTATTATGGTATATTCAAGAGACAACTCCCTTTCATTATTCCAGATTTTTTGGGATTTTCGCTCCTCGTTTCTATGAAATAAAAATATGAATATTATTTCAATATTCGTGTAGGGAGGACAAATCAGATTATTTGCCCCAAAATGTCACTGCGTTTAAAGAATCTTCCTACAGAGAGCCTAAAAGAAAAATTCACCAGCTTGTCACCGACAATTTGTATTGAAAAGAGTTTGGAGATGAGAAATAAAGGTATATAGAGGAAATATCAATATTCAACAACTCTCTTTGTTGTCATTATTCTTTTGGTTAGACAAAATAGGTTATTTTTCTAAGTGAAACTTAAAATTATACATTATTTGATCATGTTTTATTCGAAGAAGTGCGATTATAGATTAGGTATAAATGAAATAAAAACAATATAGAAAAAGTCAAATTTAGGATACCAGTTTTCGAACAGTATTTTAAATAATTTTCAAGTTAATTGATTGCGATTATGTCAGCATTTGGAATGAATAATTTGTGCTTGCATTTCTAATTCTAACTATATAGACCGAGATATAGACCGGTGTCTATAAAGAATGTCCCTTCTATTTTTCTCAAGGTCTGAAAGCCTTTTAATTCCTTTTAGGATATGCATTATATCTATCACTTGAATGGATTGAAAAGATTTGCAACTTTGTTTATATAGGTATCTCAATAATTTATTATATACGTATTTTATAAATATCGAGGCTTGTCAGTTGATTCAATAAGACTGTATATACCTACCTATCTCGAACTAGTTTCATTCTGATTCACTAAGAAAAACTACTGAACAGGGCTCCACACAGCCATATGTCATAAATATAATGTTTTTCTATTGATTCTCTGATTTCTGTTAAATTTTCGGTGGTTGAAATTCCAGTTGAATTTACAGTCATATCTATTTTTCCAGACATCTGTGAGAAAAATAGTATTAGAAAAAGATGTAGAAGGAAGTTCAACCGTTATTTTTACAGAGTATGAAATATTTCAACGCAAAAAAAGGAATTGTTGAATCAAGCAAAATTTAATTGAATGAAGCAAATATAAGTGCCATATATGCACAATGTATAATCTTGAAATGAATAAATCTTTATCTTGTTTCAGAGCGAATTTGAAGTTTGAATCGAGTAAATAATATGTCTTGCATGAACTCTGGATCTTATTCAATCAAAAACATCCATGAGTTGTTCATGAACAGATATTGAATTGAATTGAAACAATCATTTTGTTGGATTCAGAAGAGGTAATAAGATATTGATCCAATCAAATATTTAGTTGATTCAATGAAATATTTGGTTGACTCGAAGAGTTATTTGGTTGATTCAATGAGATATTTTGTAGATTCAATGAAATATTTCATTGACATAATTTATTTTCGAGGTAACCATATATTTTGTTCAGTCCAACAAAAATAACTCAAGCATAAATAATTTGTTGATGCAATAAATCCTTTTTTCCCGTGTATGAATGAATATTTAAATTTAATATTATATGTTTTCGATTGATTTTTTTTCAATTTTCTTCGCGCAATCAGAATATCTTCAATTTCAATTTTCTTGAAATCGCGATTGATTTTCTTGATGGTACAAGTATTCCATATTTGTGTAAAAAGTTGCAATCCTCACTCGAATTCTTATAACTTTCAATCTAATTTTAAAAAGTCACATAGGTACCTACTTGTCATGCTTCAGTTGTAACCATTCTCGTAATTTGGAGTTGAATGAACACTAGAATGATCGGTTTATTTTGTTTTTATTTCAAAGAACACTATTCAAAAGGACCTATTAGATGGTCTATATGAATTGAGAATTGAGTCTGATTTATTTTTTTATGCCATTCCAAATGAACAATTTTCAATCGTTGAGTCTGATCTCCGACGAGGATTCAATAAATATATACAAATTATTCCATTTGAGAAAACTAAAATAAGTGCTTTTCATCAACTTGTTGTTTATTCATAATTTGTTTCAAAAAAATTTGAAATGTGAGGTGAAATGATACCTTTGAAAATTCCATTAAACCCTGCATCATATAGTGATTGTCACAATATGAAAAAGGACACCAATACTGCACCAGAAAAATAGGAATCGTTGAATCAAGCCAAATTCAGTTCAGTCAAGAAAATAAAATTTTCATACACATTATAATTATGCACGACAAAGTATAATCTTGAAAAAGGGTGAAATCAAGTATGTCTTGTTGCATCAGACCCCAATTGAAGTTTGGAACAAGTAAATATTTATGACAAGAATTCTGGCTCTCATTGAATCTAACGCATCCAAAATTTGTTCAGAAAAAGATATTGACTCGGCATTGTGTTTGATCAAAATGTCAAGGAATGGATTCGATGGAATATTTTGTAGATTCTATAAAGAAACTGTATTTTAATTTGACGAACATTATTGGAATTTCCTTTCGTGCGTTCCAAAAGATTTTAAAAAATCCGAAAACCGAGATCAGTATCGCTTCGGAAGTTTATTTTATAAATTTCGTTATACTTAATCGAATTGATATTATCCTCGATATTATCCAAGATATTATGCTAATATTCCATCTGAACTATTTTTATCTTTCATCAGAACAAGTTGTTTTTTTGTGTGAAGAATATCTGATTAAACCTCTCGCTCACGAATTGATTGTTCCAATGATAAAAATCTCGTAAAAATCTGAGGATTTTTCATACAGGTCCTGTAGTTTTTTTTTAATGTTGGGCTCAAGGACAATAGTGATGAAGCCAGTGGAATAAGAATTCTCTGAACTTTGTCATTTACGAAATATTATGCGATAAAAAAAATAGACATTATGTTTATAATAATCCATCTGGAATCCCTTATTTAATCAACTGCAAGACTTCGTCACCAGTAGGAGGTCTTTTGGACATGAATACATCACACACAAACAGTACAACGCCCTAAATAAATTCTGGATTTTGAAAAACAAAAAAAAAATTGATAAAATAATCACTATTCAAAATGCAGCTGTTTGTCTACACAACATAGTAATTTTGATACTTAGTTGTCGCAATTGAATGTCACTAAGAAAAACTACTGAACAGGGCTCTACACAGCCATATGTCATAAATATAATGTTTTTCTATTGATTCTCAGATTGATGTGAAAACAATACGAGCTGTATTTAAACCATTTTAGAATAGGCTCCCATTTGAAGACACGTTGAGCACAGCGGAAGAATTGATGCAACAACAAAAATTTGATCAATCCGACAAAAATAACCCAACTACGAAGAAGCTAAAATGGTCAAAAGTGGAATGAAATGTTGAATAAATAGATACAAAACTCAAAGTCATTTCCACAAATGTTCATAAAATTAACAAACATGGTAGTAATCTGGTGAAAAACATTTACTTTCCTGGCTAACACCACGCAGACCATTGAATTACATCCTTCGGAAATCTATGCATCGATTCGTATAAACGAATACTAATGCAAGTGTTTCTTTCCCCTAATGCCGATTGATTGCGATTTAGCCAGGTCAACGCTCGACACCTACAGACCGGTTACGGACTTTTGGCCCTCATCAGTGTAAGATAGTCTCGAGCTAGCAGTTCTAAGAGCGCCAGCATATAAATCAGATCGGCATTTTATTCCCTCAGAGGCGTCTTCCATAGGCAACATTCCTGTAACGCCATCTAGAGTAGAAGGAAAGAAACAGTCCAAAATGAAATTCCCATCTTGGTGGGAAATGGGAGTTACTGATTGCCCTGTCCGTAGGTGTCAAGAGTTAACCTGGCTGAATCGAAATCAATCCGCATTAGGGGAATGAATAAATTGCATCAGTTTTCGTTTATAAATACGAATCGAATATAATTCAATGTTCTGCGTGGCATTGCCCTGGAAAGTAGTTGTTTTTCTCCCGTCATCAACCACTTCTGTTCATTTTATGAACATAAATAATTTATGGAGATGACTGAGTTCTGTATATATTTATTCAAAAATAATCCCACGACAAATAATTAGTTGTGCTACATAGTTTCGCGTTCCTCAAAGACTCCTCCACACGCACCAATCGCCACCACCCCAAGAACAAAACGATTTTCCAGCCATCCCCAAAAAATTCGCTCGCCGTTCCCCTCCCCGTGGAGCGATGTAAACACCCAAAACAGCCACCCCATACCCCAACCAACATGATGAGCCAAGAGGTGCTCCAGGTGGTGCACGAAAAAGAGCCCCACCGCTGGTCGGAGGAGGCGACGATCACTCTGCGCCAGCACGAAGGGGGCGGAGTCGAATGGCCGAGCATCGACGAAGACCTGCCGACGCTGCTCGAGAAGAAGGGCAGGCGCAAGTCGTGGCACGCGGTGCGGTTCGAGCGCAAGCGCCGCAAGGGCGTGGTAGAGGGGGCGTCGCCCGAGGGGTCGCCCGGTGGGACGGGCAGGCAGAAGAGGCCGTCGTGGTGGAACCTGTTCGTCAATCAGCCGTGGCCAAGGTATGCGGGGCGGGGCATAAGTGGGCGGGGTTTGTTGGTGGGCGGGATGTGGGTGGGGCATGAGGGGGCGGGTTTGTGGGGGCGCGTCGGGGTTTGATGGTGGACGAGAAAGAAGGATTGGTTGGTGTTGAGTCCTTTTCTCGAATGCTAAATTATGAATTTTGGCAAATATTATGATTCAATCTTCCTAACAACAACGATATGCCACGAACTCCTACCATACAGTGTGTCCCAAATTTGATCCTCACCATTGGGATCTCAGTAACTATGAGAGATAGAGAAACGGTTGAATTGGCAAGGTTGTAGCAAAATTAATGTTGAATCAGAATCTATTGAGAAATCTGGGCTAGCTCTAGTCATTCTTGCTCTATTTTAGAAAAACTGAAGTCTTGTATTTTTGTTTTGTTCGAATATCTCGAAAACTATTGAATTTATGAAAAAATATTCCAACATTCTCATAGCACTTTTTGGTGTTCTTTTCAATGGTTTTGTCAGTTTTCCATCAAATAGTCAAATGACTTGTGATACATCACTAGGAAGGAAATTTTATGCTGATTTCAAATCTGTTAAAATCCAATATGGCGTCCATAAGAAAAATCGAAGTTGTAGGTGATATCTCAGAAATTTGACATTTTGATGGAAAACTGACAAAACCATTGAAAAGAACACCAAAAAGTGCTATGAGAATGTAGAAGTCATTTTTTTCATAAAATCAATAGTTTCCGAGAAATTCGAGAAAAACAAAAATACAAAATTTAATTTTTTCTCAAATAACTCAAGGATGACTGAAGCTAGCCTGGATTTCTTGATAAATTCTGATCCAACATTAAAGCTACAACTTTGTTAATTTAAGCGCTTCTCTATATATCTCATAGGTACTGAGATCCCAATGGTATGAGGATCGAATTTGGGACACACTGTATATCCATATAAATAACAATCAGTGGAAATACAGATTGTCCCAGTCGAAACTCTGAAGTTGAGAAAATTGAAAATCACTCGGACAGGTCGATTTTTATTTGTACGGAGACATATTTCCCTGTTTTTGATCAATTTAATCATCATCATATCTCAAAGTTGAAACCTTGAGGCGGATCGGGCATCAACTTTCGATTCTTGAATGGAACACTCTGTATTTTATTTCATGATCGGTTAGTGATTATGCATTACAAATCCAACGATACCAAGTTTGATGGAGATTTCCGAACGGCTATACGGAGATATAGCTGATTGATTTTTCAACTTGCTTCATGAGTGTAACGGAGAAATTTCTACTACACATTGAAATATACAGGGTGGAAACTTCAACTGGAATAAATTTGCTACTGGGGGAGTGAACGTTTGAATGTATTTACCTACATTTGGCGAGCAATATGGAGAATATAACAAATCAGGGATAGCTGAAATCAACCCCAACATGTTTTTTCCAAATGCAACCCTAGGGCTTGCGACCCCTCATTGGAAAGCTATAGTTGAATGAGGAATCCGTACTGATCATATTCCAGTTTGCAGTACATTTGGGGGTCGCAAAAAATCAAAATATTATTTCGAAGTTTAATATACGTATTTTCATCAAAATTTCAACTTTTAGTGACAGTGATATAGAGCATTTCCACCAATTTCAAACTGTGAATACGTTAAAAGAAGTAAATTTCTTTTTGCAGCTCTATAAAAACACTGGAATTTAATAGCAGATAGCAGTAGCGGCAAAGAATTGCCATCAATTGTTCAACACACATTCTGTGCGATTGATCCGTTAAAAAAAAGGAGTTTAAAAGCACATTTCGATTTCATGCAATCTTTAATCCTATGGAAAACTAAAATTTGACTAGTACGCTGGATTCCTCTTTCCACTAGCTTTCCAATGAGAGGTCACAATCCATAGGGTTACATTTTAATTGAAAAAAAAATATTCACCTCCCCGCTCACAAATTTATTCTAGTTAAAGTCTCCACACTGTACTTAATTAGATACGAAGAAAGTTCAAGAGAACGAATGTCATTTGATAATAAATCCTGATTGGCGATGAATCAAAATTTTCGCATGCTTCATCAAAAACTAATCAAAGTGTTTCGTTTATTTTCTATTTTATTAGGTTCTTGACATCGCCATCATATTGATTTCAGAAGAAAATGTCTCCTGCGCCGCCATTTTGAAAATAAATGTCCACTTGTTACATGTCATCTTTGAAAAGGAAATGTTTTGCTCTATCTCATGTCGTGAAAATATCTACAGGGTTTCTCTCAAAATTCTCGACCCAGATCTATTTCCAGGAAACCCAGGAGTGATATTCAATGGAAAATATGGGTTTCAAGTTTAAGGAACTATATATCTTCGATCCAAATGTCAAAAGTCTAACAAAAAAAAGCTGAATTACGCACTACGTCTATGATTTTTTACTTACTTATCCGTATCGGTAAAAAGCCTCATTTTTGGTATCATTCCAAATAAAAATCTTGCTCTCTGCAAATGTATTTTCTGGTGAGTGTTTTCGAGTAGTTGACTGGGTGACTCATTATTTCGAATTGAAAATTTTTTCCATGAAGCACACTTGCGAAATAAATCAACTTTGTTTGACATTCTACTTCCTCGTAGGTTCGTTACAATTTCGTGTTAAGAATTTGCCAAGATTTCGTGTGAAGTGTCGACATTCTTTCGAAATCATTTGTTGGCACTGCGCTCAGCTGTTGCCAGAAAAATCCTGGCCGATGTTTTATTTTTCCAGTAAAAATGCTGACCTCTGATGCGTATTTTAAACGGTGAATGTTGGATTAAAGATTGTTCCATGCACAATTTTTGATATTCGGGTCTTCCATCAGTGATGCTGATGTTAGTACCGAAAACATATCACGATACATATATTAGTGAAATTTCAATCATCAATACTTTCATATTAGTTTCATCTGAGTGTGCCATGATGAGTTCTGATTCAATCGTTAACTTTTATTGTATCGCATCGTATATGGTTCTGAAAAACATTTAATCCCGTTTTTGAAACACATTTTTTCTCGAAACAATATAGGAACCATGCTTTCACATATCTTCAGTTATTGAAGTTTGATTCAAATGTATTCACTGTTGTGGTTGATGCATACTCCATATATAAATACATCTTTTCGATGAACCTATTAAAGTACCAGGTCATTGAAAATACCGAAGTTGTTATTCCAAATCCTGAATCACTATGAAATCTCTAATGGTGGAAATTCCTTTAGTCATATAGTATTTTGATGTCTTCTTGACAATTTAGGGAATATCGCGCAGTTTTCCACTGATTCTTATCTATACATTCTTGCCTAATCTCGATGTTTCTGTTTATCAGAGTGGTAGTGTTAGTGAATAACAGAAATTATGGATTTGTGTGTTTTGATACCGTATTTTGGTTAGTTCATGAGTATACAGATTGTCTGCCCAATCATTACACATAGGGCATGTAAATGGCAACACGATAGCAATATATAGACTGATTCGGCTATCGTACATCTGGCCACCACAGTGAAACAACCGCTATATTCTTCGTAACTACCATGTTGCCAAATGCAATCCTCAATACTCCTATATATAACGTTTTGAAAATCAATCTGTATACATTATTTATCCGGTTTTAAAAAATATATCCTTATTTATGATACATTTATGGTACATTGATGGTGCATTAACCTATGATGCAAAAAATGACATTCAAGTCATCATGTCCTGTGAGTTTTTATTTTGAGTCACTATAAGGATGACTTATGCGTTCAGTACAAATATGGACTTGGCAATAATTCTCGAATGGGGATCCGATAACTTGGTAGATTTCAATGCAATCAAAACACAAGCATGCCTTTTCTCTAAAAAAGCCGATCTCCCTATGCCCAACATAAGCTTGTCAGGAGTAACCATACCTTTGAAGAAATCCATTTCGATGCTTGGTATTACTATCAGCAATAACCTTTCTTGGGAAAATCACGTGAGATCAATTGCTAAAAGAGCATCCCAAAAACTTGGTTTTCTGTTTCGGGCCAGGAGCTATTTCACTTCCAGTCAGCTGCTTATCATCTATAAGGCACAGATCCGACCTGTTCTGGAATACTTTTCCCATATTTGGAGTGCAGCACCCAAACATACCCTGGAACTGTTGGATTCTGTCCAAAAAAGGGCAATTCGTCTCGTGGGTGATGCCTCGCTCACAAACTCACTCACTTCCCTGGAACACCGTAGAAAAGTTGGAGATCTGGCTCTATTTTATAAATATTTTCATGGACGATGCTCTTCTGAAATATCAACAATTATTGTTCCTTCCTTGGCAGTCCCCGTGAGATTAACCCATCGAGGTGAGGCTTCGCACCCCTTCGTGGTCACTTTAAAGACCTGCAGAACATTTCTTTCCGAAGACTCGTTCTTCCAACGAACACATTGCCCAGGGAGGTGTTCCCCGAGGCATATAACCTCCAGAAATTTAAGAACACCAATTCCTACCTTATTTCCCGTGGTTCTCACGATGTTCTCTGAACATTACAGGACAGTAACGCATTTTAACATATAGGTATTATCTACACACTTGACGTGTCAGAAATTTAAACAATAGTTCATACAAAATATATATTAGTAGGGTTGTCGCTGGTTGCCATCTCTAAAATATGAAAACCAAGACAAGGCTACTTGAAAATCCGGACAAAATCTGGACAGCGGAAACTTTGAAAACTCGAATCATTTTTTGTAATTCAAAAAATAATATATTTTCATATACATATAAATTCAAAGGTGAATGGTGCAGGGTGCAGTACGATGTATGGGTTAGCGGTTAGGGTATTCTTACATATTGATTTATTGCAGAAACCGAACAAAAACTCGACAAATATTTTTGAAACAAAACTGAATCACGTTTATAATATACCAAATCAATAAATATTCAATTTTCGAGTCAACTTTCATTGTCATGTAGTTTATATCAGTGGTGGGACCTAACGAAAATCCGGACAATTTTTCAAAACCCGCCCGGACGCCCCTAAAATCCGGACATGTCCGGGGAAATCCGGAACGGATGGCAACCCTATTTAGCCTATAGTGAAATATAAAAAAGGTACAACTACAACTTGCTTGCAATCACCATAC